GCATGAAGCATAGGGGAAGATTACTGCATGAAAATAGGTCTTCCAAATACTTATGACATCCTTAACATTCTCAAATTTTTTCGAGATGATGGACGTGCCAGAAAAAAGCAAGTAAGCTTGTCGCTTCTCAGCTCAGAGGAGGTGGTATTGCTGTATAGTAGGATATGCTCCAAAATAACTGGCAACGACGAGGAAACGCTCATGTTAAGACCCAGAGAAGAATTAAGCAACTACACTTAGTTCGACTGTCCAAGGGTCATGGAACAAGTGTGGTGGCAAGTAATACGGCTGATCAAGTTCAGTATGCTCAAGCTCAGGTGAAAAAGATGCTCGACGAATTAAATGCTATGTATTAGTGTTGTAGCTGACAGACTTGGGAGAGACAAGATGTTTAATGAAGGCGACATGGTCATGGTTCACTTGAGGAACGACAATTCTACCATTCTGTTCTAAAAAGAAAGTAGATTTTTCACGGTGTTGGTATATTTATGAAATAGTTGGTAAGTGTTAAAACTGTGGGTGAGCGGTTCCCGGTCCGGTCCGGTCCAACCCAAGAACCGAGAACCGGTTCCCAGTTTCTAGGACCGAGGACCAGACCGGCTAGTCTTGGGACCATAGACTGGTTTCAATGGGACCAATCACTTATTGATAAAGGCAAGAGGGAATTTAATCCCCCATTATAAAAAGTGAATGTGCTCAAAGAAGCAAAAGAAGTAATGGTGCTCAGCAAGAATGAGCAATAAGCAGTCAGAAAGATATCTACAAGAACTTGCCTAAAGAACAAGACAAGTGACAAGCAAACTTCTGGTATGCCCTTCTTGGGTGTTCAAGCGGTTTCAGATCATTCACTACAGAAGTCTTTGCGGCACAAGTCTCCTAATGCTGCGTCAGAAATAAATAGGCTTGACGTCGTTAGGCCCCAAACTAACTCCACAGGATGGGCATTTGCGAGGACAAGTTTCTGTTAAGTTCTGAATGCAGGTGTTACAGAATAGGTGATAGCATTTCGTGATGACAACTTGATTTAAAAGCAAATAGTTTCTATTTTTTTCAAAAATTTTAAAAAGTAAATAAATATATATATGAAAAAATTAGAAAAATATATATATTTATTGGTCTGGTCCGGTCGGTCCGGTCCGGTCCGTTTCCCACCCTAGAACCGGGAACCGGACCGCCCAGAAACCGGTTCCACTTTTAGGAACCGGGAACCGGACGAATATTCCTGAGAACTGGACCAAACCGGTTGGTCCGGTCCGGTTTCGGTTTGGACGGTCCATCTTGCTCACTCCTAGTTAAAACACCGTGGATGAATAAAGTGATTGGGTCACCTAATTTACCAATACTTGTAGGTAACTTACAATATTTTTATGAAATCAGTAACTTTTTTCGACAATTTACAAGTTATCGACCGTTCTTATCTTTTACTAACTTTTATTTGTATTTTTTATTAACATCTTAAAGTTACCAACTTTTACATAAATTTATTAATCATTCTTTGAGCAAGTCATCCACCTTTTTCCAATCAAAGTACCGAACTGACGAGTTTTTAATAGTTGATTCACAGATGAGTTACTTACCAACGTTTTATTTCAAATTTTAAGTTATTTATCAACTCTTATTGGTCTCTATTACAAACACCTTAAAGTTATCAACTGTTGTATGAATTTACTTATCTTTATTTGCCTATGTAACTTACCATCTTTTCTTCTATTAGATTATCAAATAGCTTGGGTTTACCAACACTCATTTGAATTGCTTACAAATGTTTATTTGGTTTTTTTTTAAAATTTACTAACTATTCTATTGAGTTACCAAAATCTTACTTATCAACCTGCTAAATATACTAACTGTATTTTAAAAGTTAACAATCTTAATTGGAGCGATTACCAACTTTGATTCGATTAAATTATCAACAAAGTTTGTGTTACCAAAAAAACTCAATTGAATCAGTTACCCACATTTACTTCTTTTTTTAATTACTAACTTCATTTATATCTGACATAATCATTTACAAACTTTTATATGCCTTTACCAACGCTTTAATTTCAACTATTATATAAAATTACCAACATTTATTTGAATAACTTATCAGTTGTCTCCACTTAATTACCAACTAAGTTTGTATTACCAAGTCTCGCCAAAGTTGCTTATTACCAACATTATTTGTTTATTTTAATTTACCGACTTTTATATCCTATTACCACTTTATTTGACTGCGTTGCCAACTTGTTTTAGAAATTACTACCAACTTCTATTAAAGTCATTACCAACTTTTTTTTATTTAATTACCAAATAATTTTGTGTTACCAACTCCTATTCGAATTAGTTACAAATTTATATTAGGCTTTCTTTTCAAATACCAACTTCTCTTATCTCTGAGAGAAAAAGAACTTATCTTATCATTTACCAACTATTTATCTTATCAATGATTTAAATTTTAAAACTGTTATGTAAAATTATCAACCTTTGTTTGTTTTACTTACCAATAAGGTTACCAATTTGCTAACTTACACAAAAAAGAAGTCACCAGTCATATCTTTAGCAGCATGTTTTGACAGGATAGTATTTTGAGAAAAACTAAGGGTAAGTAGAATTGGGAACCGGACTGAACTAGCCATAGGAGCTGGTCCGGTTCCGGTGCCTGCGGTTACCGGTTCAAAAAAAAGTAAACCAATATTGAACCAGGAACTGATGAACCGCGGTTACGTGTTTTGAACTTTTTATTGTTTATTTTATTTTGCATGTTCATCTTTTATAGACTGTTGCTATTGAAAAATTGTGATTTTTGTTATTGCGTCCACTCTCATTTTGCTTAACTAAAATGAAACACCAGTTCCTAGGTAGACCCTAGAACTGATTGACAGGTAGGTTTCAAGGTACGCAAGGTAAGTAGGGCCTGTTTGGTTCGGCTTTGGGGGAATGCATTTGGCAAAATGCAAATACCTTTGAGTTAAAAGGGTTTTCCGAAATGCAAGTAGTGTTTGGTAACGTGTCTTTTAAAATCACATTTGAAAACAACTTTGGTCTAAATACTATTTGGTAAAATCTTAATTTTGTAAAGGACTTTTGCTAATATTTAAAAAAAAAAAAATTTGGCCTGAACCAGCCACCGCCAGCGACTGTCCAGCAGGCCAAAACGGCCGCCGGCCAGCCTCGCCTGAGGTCGGCCGACCTTCGGCGACCACCGCTTGGGGGTCGCCCGACCCCGGCGACCGCCGCCTGGGGTCGCTCGACCTCACGCAATGCTCGGGTCGCGCGACCCAGATCTGGGTCGCGACCCGAGTGCCGCTCGAGGCCGGGCGACCCGGGCGGTGGTCGCGGGTCATGCGGCGACCTCGGACCGCCACCTGGGGGTCGGGCGCCCCAGGCGGCGATCGCCGGGGTCGGGCGACCCCCAGGCGGTGGTCGCCGGAGGTCGGCCGACCCCCAGGCGGCGGTCGCCGGACCCCTCAGCGGCCTCCGGTGTGGTTCCTTGGGCGCGATGAACAGTGACGGATGAATAGTGCCAATTGCATTCCGAAAATGCAATTTCCCCAAGGGACCTCATGAGGTGCATTCAGCCAAAGGCCCTTAGGGAGCTTTGGAGATGCAATTGCATCTCCTCAAAGCTTGCAAAAAAAATTGCCAAACAAGTTTGCATTTGCCCAAGGGCCTTTAGAGCCCCAAAGCAGCATTTGAATGCTGAATCAAACAGGGTCGTACCAGATTCCAAAAATAAGGTAATTGCTCTAGAACCTAGACGACTCACCCTAAGAAAAACCCACCAGTGAGAGGTTGGAAGGAGTAAATTCATCCAACCCGAATTGGAGGAAGATATGGATGCCAACTTGGACCTTCAATGGCAACTTAACGGTGTTAACCTCCTCGTCAGCAAATACGGCTAGGTTTTTTCAAGAAAAGGGCTTGATTGAGCTAATTCTGGGAAAAAAGTAGAAGAAGGGGTCACATTTAAGAAATAAAAAATATTCAAGGATGATATTGAATAACTAAAAAATTTTTAAGGACTGACTATATCATTACCCCCGTAACGCCAGACTTCTGTTTCATAGATAAACAGTGTGGAAAAATAAGTCCCCAAACGGGACAAAAACAATGAAATATAAATAGAATAACTCGTGTATGTTGTCTCTTTTTGGCGATGTTCGTAATATAATTTTCTGGATAAATCCAAAATTGCAGGCGACACTGCATGATTACAGAGCTTGTATGATTGCTTGATGACAAACATGTACAGAATAAGCGGCAGGAATTGGGGAGGATTGAGCGCGATTCTTTAATTTGAAGTAGACTTGGAGTCGGGAGCATCAAAGCACTTGTTGACCATAAGATAAGAGAGCATGTGCTGCTCCTTGGTTTCTAGACGGAGCAAGCTCGTGGCTCAGCTGTCACATCAAGTTTCAATTCCTTGACTGAATCAGAAGCCGATTCAAAATTGATCTTCTTTACCTGCAACTTGGTATTTTTATCTCGCCTGATCAGTAACACAACACAAGGAGTTTTATTTTTTTTTTCATGTCGAGCTTAATCAATGTCCGCAGTCTTTTTCCCCCCAGTAATAGATCTATCTCAACATTCATACATACTTTTGGTTTCTTTTTACACGATCGGTGAATCCCAAAAATTTGAAATAGCAACTAAAAAAATAAGACGTGAGTCAAAATTTTAATTGGGTTATCGAGTATGCAAATTATTTATGTTTAGTTGGGGCATGGGAAATCGAATCTATTTATTGCGCTTAATCCCATTTCTGATATCTTAATTCTAAGAGTAATCAATGGTGCGTATTTATTGACTCCTCATTTTTCTTCGTTGTTTTTCATTCCGTTGTTGGTTTTTCACTATTTTGTTTGCATATTTATCTTTTCAGGTCATATTTTCTTGCATCCCTGGCGAGTCTCTGTTTGGTGGGTTTATAGAAATGTACATTTCCTACAATGTAAGACGTTGATTTTTGTAATCTAAAAATCTTTCCTCTGATCAGAAACGGAGGCAAACATAGTCCTTCTATTTTTAACAGCTTGTGCTTTTCACAGTAATCAGATTTGCACATTCAATGACAAAATAAAGAGATAATTTACATCGGCACATCTCCACTCAAGTGGAAGAGGAAAACTAAGGCCCCAAAACAAATGGAGGAAAAAGAAAAGAAAAGACCACCTCAAAGTGCTAATGCGACCGGGATGATCCAAACATTGACATCTTGAATCTTGTCCAAACATGAACTTACACTAACTTCACAACGAGCAGTGAATCACACCACCAAAACACAAGGCAACCCAACCACACCGGTTGAATCTCCTACAATACCAACTCAGTGTCTCTGCGGTCCGACGCTCCATGATTCATCGCTTCCTGCATCGAGTTCGGAAAACCATTAATTAGACATGACTCTCGATCAGTAATTAGTCTGATTTCAGGAGGGCTCGACCAACAGTCTCGATACACTGGCCAACAAGATCCATCGGTTCTTGGCGTAACGACACTTTATATCATTTTCATGAGGTTTCATTTCTCATGTCACAAAATTCCATATGTTTCCTCCATCTTCAAAGTGTTATATGTTGCATGATGCACGAACATAAATTTCACATGTAAAACTTCTCAAAAATATTTTCCTTATTTTACGCAGAAAATTATACTCACCGGTGATGCCTTGCCAGGAGCGATAGTGTTATGATCATCTGAGGCCAGATCACACTTATCACTGTTGAATTCAAACTCAACAAATTTCTCATCACTGATTGTCTCAACCGATCTCTTGGACGCAGTGTGGGTCGTCTTCTTCAGGCCCAGAATCCCCCTCCACCTTGTGCTTGACCCCTTTGGTGGTTTCACAAATGCACTGTCATCATCTTCATCCTCATTCGTCAGAAGCTCATCCCGCAGAGTCACCACCGCCGTCGCCGTCTTTGGGAATATCGCGTTCTTGAGAGGCAACAGCCTTCCCTTGAAGAAGAGCTCATCAGCGCTTATCATGGAGAAGCCTGCGACCGACGACGATGACGACGACGGTGAGAAGAACTCAAAGTCTGTTGAAGCGGCTGCTGCTGCTTCTGATCTAGGATTCCTCGTTGCATCTTGCTTCGTTGAGAGGTTCAGGTCGACAAAGTCGTTGGAGAAGGAGATCCGTGGGCTCATAGGCACGCCCTTGTACTGCGGCTGGTCGGAGTTGTACGTGTCTATGCATGCCATTGGATTGTGATTTTCTTCTTCAAGATGGTCTCGGATGGGCAATGAGGGTGGATAGGAGGCACGATGTGTGAGAGAAATGGAGAGAATCGCAATAGAGAATGGGATTATTTCTTTGCCAGGAACAGTGGACACTGTGGCAATGAAGTGGGAGTGCCTATTTATATCTAATTGACTAGAGGATGTATTTGTTATGATATTCTAGCCATGTTATTACTTTTAACTATGCTTTGATATGTTGCCATATCCGATGATTATTTTTCCTGTAGCAATTTTACTTCAAACAAATTTTTTGACCATCAAAAAATTCAAATTGATACACATTTGACAAATTTACCCAAACTAATTTTTTGACCATTAAAAATCTCAAACCGATATATTTGTGACTAATTTACCCTCCGTTAGTTTCCATTAAATTGAATTAATATCACAAAAAATCACAAATTGGTACACATGTGACAAGCGAAGGGTAAAACATAAAACTAGTACATATGTCAACTGCTGTGTATCAATTAATAAAACAATTTGATAGTAAAATTTAACGGAAACAAATTGAGGGTAAATTTATCACATGTGTACCAGTTTGGGGTTTTTGGTGGTCAAAAAATTAGTTTGGAGTAAAATTATCACATGTGTACAAGTTTGGGAAATTTGATGGTATTAATCCTAGAAAAAACAAGTCTACCATATTTTATTGATTGTGGATTTATTTAAGGAGGTATATTTCCCTTTTTATTGAGAGTCGAATCGCGTTACGGTCATATTTTCCTCAATTCTTCATCGGAGAAAAACTGTTCATCTTTTGATCTAGGGTTTGCAAACATAGAAATCACCCATATTACAAGACTCCTTACCTCGTAAGAGGACGAACAAATTTAGATACGGGTGGCAAATAGACTCTGTCACACGCTACATCGAATGACCGTATTACATGACTCCTTACCTCGTAATTGAGTCAAAACTTGCGGTGCGATTAAGCCTAGCGAAAGATCTATGCTTAAGTTATGTGCGTGGAAAGATCTACGCATGGATGTACCACCTCAGGATATGCATTATCTCACTCTCACATATCACAATTATATTCGGTTTCTCTTCGAAGTCTTATTAAAAAGTGTACCGATGTCTCTTATTAAACATACTTAATTTGAACTAACTTAATGTTCAAAATATCGATTCTGCAAAACACGAGGTGAAATATGGCAGCCAATGCATCGAAAACTATAAAGTTCCTTTAATAGGTTATTTAATCAGTGTCTCCGAGACACTCGTTAACCAAATTCTCCGCATGATTAGAAAGAGAGTTCCTTTTCTTTTCCAAAAAGAAGAAAAACCCTTGGAACTCAATAGTGTGTTTAGCATATTCGAACCATCATCATAATAATGGTCGGTCCAATTTGAATAATCCCACATGCTCTAACCCTAGAGTGACCTTCCACTACTTCCACTCAACGTGCAATGAATGAAAAAGCATGTTACTTCGTGAGGCAACATAGGTTTCCAAAAACAATCTTGGCAACCACGTGTTCCTCCGATCTATGGCCATAGCCAGCTCATTGACACCTGATTACGTTCTAAGTCAAGAGTACCAGTCAAACTAATCCATGAGCAAATAGGGTATAGACTGAACTTAATGGATCAAGCTCACTTTATACAACATCTTTTTCCACATCGAACGTGGTGGTTGTCATCACATACATCCATGAGATCTATTCTTTCCAAGGAGACATTGAATTCCCCTTTCCTAACACTACTCAAGTCCCAACCGCCCCCCCCCCCCCCCACATTGTTCTATTCCATGTTCATAGCAAGGGAAAGCCATCACTCTCCCATATGCATCTCTCTCTTTTCTTTTTCATCCGCCTCATTAATTCCTTTGAAATTTTTGGGTTTTGTTACTTACTTACTCTTATTTTCTTTTTGGTTTTATAATACGTGGACGTAGGCATTGAGATATTGCTATTGGGAATTCGTGAAACATCTCGAAGCAACATGAACCGATTAAGTTCAGATTTTTGGCCTGTGTAGGTGACCCTGATCTAGAGCACTTTGCATGCCCAATTAACTACGCCCCCTTGAGGATAATCTTTTGCATCCAAATTTTCTCTTTTTATACGTTTGTTGTTTTTGGAAAGTATGCAATTGATGTGTTCAACAGGAAAAGTTATTTCGTTGTACTCGAATATATTAAATTAAATTTAAATCGTTTAATATAGTGGGAATCACGAAGACTCACACTACAAAAAAACATGTCATTTGCGACGGATTTTGCGACGAAAAAATCGCAAAAATCCGTCGCAAATCATTTTTGCGACGAATTTAGCGACGGAAAAAATTCCGTCGCTACTAGGTCGTCGCAAATTTTTGCGACGGAAAAATAATTCGTCGCAAAATTCGTCGCAAATAATTCGTCGCAAATTAGCCACGAACACTATCCGTCGCAGAGTTCGTCGCAAAAAATTCGTGGCAAAATCCGTCGCAAAATTCGTCACAAAATCCGTCGCAAAATTCGTCGCAAAATCCGTGGCAAAATCCGTCGCAAAATCCGTCGCAAAAATCGGTCGCAAAAATCGTGGCAAAATTCGTCGCAAAATCCATCGCAAAATTCGTCGCAAAAATCGTGGCAAATTTCGTCGCAAAATCTGTCACAAAATTAGCCACGAACTTTATTCGTCGCAAAATCCGTCGCAAAATTAGGCCCGAACTTTATTCGTTGCAAAATGTATTGGACGGAACTTAGGCACGAACTTGATTCGTCGCTACTTATTCGTCGCAAATTAGCCACGAACTGTAATGGTCGCAAAATTCGTATGTAAATATTCGTCGCAAATTTTACAGCATTTCGGCCATCAAATCTTGTCCATATCAATTGCTACGCATTAATGAACATCATGTAATACATTGAAAACAATCAAAGGACACGAGAAAACCATAGATTCCGCTTCAGAAATAGAAAACGAACAAACCAGACACAATGCCATATAATTGAAAAATGTAACTGAAGGAAAGATGCTAGTCCGCAAAAAATAATGATATATGCAAAGTTGCAAAGCCTGACACGATGATATTTGATATCCAATCTTATAATACATTGAAAACATTCATAGGAGGGCGGGACAATCATAGATTCTGCTTAGAAAACGAAAAATCGACAAACCAGACACAAGATTGGGCAGCTGTGGTACTCGGCAGGACACCAAAAGCAGTCACTTTTGTCGACACCTGATGAAATGTAGATACATAAATAAATATATTCAATCAGTCAAGAATATAAAAGAAGTGCTTATGCATGGATGTGGAACTAGGTATAAAAAAACAAGTAAGAAGGTTAATAAAAAAACGTTTTAGGACGAACATCAATGTTCTTACATATGAGTATGAGTCAACTTTGACATCCATTGTAGTTTTTTCACCCTTGTAAACCGTATTTCTGTCACATAGGAAAAATTAGATCCTTGAACCTGTCAGTAAGAAAGTTGTGCACAAAAAGTAATTGTAGGGTAGGAACAAATTGGGTGAAACTACACTTATGTCATAAAAGATTGTGAAGCAAGCTTACCCCAGATTTTGGCAATTTTAACTAGAAATGACCGAGAAAATCATCATCATCATTATCATCAATGTCAGCATCATTGTGTCGCTCATCATTGTGACCATCACCTACTGGATTGGCGGGAGGTACAGGAGGAACCCCATCGCGATTAATGTTGAGGTGTCGCATAACGATTTTCATTTGTTGTTTCAAGTCATTTATTTCTTCGTCCTTCTCTACAAGTATATTTTTCAGTTGGTGCACTTCTTGGGTCAATTGCTCGTCATGTCGTGTCCTCCTTCGACCAGTCGCATTGGATGATGAAGTTCCAGCATGATTCGGCATGAACATCCTTGACAAGGATCCCATCCCAAATATTTTTCCTTTTTTCACCCCACCCGTTGCCTCCACCCATAATGCCATATTGTCAACTGGTGGCTCAGACGCACTTGCAGAACCATCACTACCACTAGCATTGCCCATTAAAAGTTCATCATATTTTTCCTACATTAACAATATAGATGAAAATAAAATGATTTCATATATATATCTACCATAAATATTAAAAGCATTCACGGTTTTCATTCTAGTTTCCATAAAGGCCAAAGTATAACCTTACATACCTTAATAGATTTTGCTCGATTGCCAATCCACGTCTTATCTTTTTTTTGAAACGTGCGTTCAAATGTAGCTGCAAATGTCGGTTCCGTCCCCAATTCTTGTGCCTACAAAATGTAAACATGAGTAATTGAATTAAATTAACTTATAACTTATTTAACAGACTTACCAGTCGTTTGCGATGCTCCCCAATGTTGATACAGCCCCCGGCATATGTGGCCGACCCTTCACTAGAACTAGAAGATCGATTCTTTTTATTCTGCTGACTGATTTGTTGACTCTTCTCAGTTTCCCAAATTCTGTTAATCTCCGCCCAATTGTCAGCTGTAATGAAAACCGGTTTCACTTTCCTGCTCTTCGCTCTATTCATCACATTTCGTATATGATCACTGATTTTCTTCTGAAAAATTCTTCTCACTTCATTCTCTTGCTGGTCATCCCACCTGACCTTCCGCTGCAATCAATACAAGTAAAACTGAAAGTTATTATGATGGTCACATATCCATTACCATGCACCAGACAATTCGGCGATAGACTTTGTTAAGTTCATATCGGGGAAAATATCTGGTCCCTTTAGTACCGAAAACTAAAGAGCTGTTCTGGTCCCTTTACATCATTCTTGACCATCAATATATTACACCGAACTTAGTTGGTAAGAAAATAGAATATCTAAAACTTACCTTGAACTCATTCCACCACAAATCTTTCACCTCTTGTGGAACACTTCTATAATTAACATACTCCCCCATCCAATAATTTTTTACTATTTTATTCAGTTCCCTCACAACAAACGTACCATCCGTGAATTTGTAAACATACGGATATTGTACAACATCGACAATTCAGTTGACATCCATATCGAAAGCCATAAATATTACATATACTAAAAAAAAATTTGAAGTACTTACGAATCTCCAAATGGGCATATCAGGAATCGGTTATCTTCTTCACCTTCGTTTCCGTCATGATGTGAATGTTGCGCTGAATAATAAGGTGGAACGGAAGG